GCTGGGGGAGTGGGGCAGGTTGGGGTGGCTGGCAGGCATCCCCCCCATGGTCCCCTCCCCCAGGCCACTACCCCTAGTACTTACCAGTTCAGAGTGGATGCAGCTCCCTGCCGCAGCCACAGGGGACTGCCCGAATCGCCAAAGATTCGGAGAGCTTTGAATCGATTCAGACCTTAAAACTGGTCCCCTGATTCAATTCAGATTTAGAGATCTGGCCACCGAATCGGACCAAATCTCCTCTGAATCAAATCACCACTTGAAACTTCGCACAGCCCTACTACAAAGTACATTATCCTCAAACATCAAGAGCACCTTAACCAGTCCCAGAAGAATGAGGGCTGTCACGAGCTGCAGCTGCAAGGGTTGTTAAAATGCACTTGAGAGATGCCAACCAAATGCCTTTTAAACCCAAATAACTGAGCTGCAGTAAACTTCCAGTGCTCCGCTGGAACCGGGTGGAAGTTAATGGAGTTTTGACAGCTGACCGGAGCTGAGCCTCATTCCTCTCTATGCTGGGGTGTTTCCACTTCAATTTCACCGTATTTTGTAATGTGCTGGGGACCTCCCTTTTGATGTGTGTTATTCCTTCCAGAAAGTCACATGGGCTAACTAGTGGCAGCTCATACCATCCTACTGGGCACCGACTGCCTGGACTGCCACCAGCCTAACCATATCCTCACAAGACCCATTTAACAAGAAGCCACATGGGCCCAAGCCTGCAGAGAGGGAAGTGGAAGAAGGGATTCCCCTGTCACTTGAGTGGGATCACAAGGGCCGATGGCACTGAGCTGGGAAGTTCACATCCAAGCTTCTCCCAAATGCTGAGGCTGGGTCGTCTCTGGGATTCTCAGGACTGCTATATTCCAATGACCCTGGGCTGGGCCTAGCATCGACTACTGAGCAAAACTCCCATTAGACACAGGACCTGGCTGGGGATTTTGCTAGAGTGAGTGCTTCAGGGCCAGGAGCCAAACACTGAAACAATAAGGACCGGTGCACTAAATGTTTGTGTCTGCCAAAGCATCACTGATGACAACAAAAAGCACATCTAGAGAAAGCTGTAACTGTTTAAAACAGGGCAATTTAAAAATACCTATAATTATTTTTATGGGAAACCAGAGCGATTTGCTTTTGGGATTTATTGCATACTTACTGCACAAGCCTTCACCAAATCGGGCCCTGGGAAGCAAAGAGGAAAAACCAATTACTATAACCTCCCCCATGAGGTTCAACAGCAACAGGAAGTATATCAGCATTTGCCCCAGTGGATCTCAAATGGTTTTACAAAGCAAGATACTTGTGATATTATTTCCCTTTCCCACAACATGCAGACACTTCTGGAGTGAATTAGCTATAGTGTAACTCTGCTCTGTGACTATTCTAATAGTGCAAGCCAAGTAATAAAGCAACACGCCACTAGAGAAAGACTGAGTCATGCCTGACAGATGTTCATGGCAGCGCTTCCTGGCACTGTTGGAAGACATTTATACCCTATGGTGGGGAAGGTAGTATAAGAACAGAACATCAAACTGAAGCATCAAGGGGAGGTTGGCTGGGCAAAATGGCATTGCACCTGGGCTTTGGTTAAGCTGCTGTGATTAGCAATGCCCTGCTCATGTGACACTTGTTACAAAGCTGCTGGAGATTAGGGACATTGGCTTTACCACTCAGGTGAGAAATGGCACCTCCAGCCTTGTGATGTCCCAGGCATTGCACAGGAGCCCAGATTCTGAGACGAGGACACAAGAAGTATTTTCCTGATTGACCAATGTCTCACCTTGAGATCCAGGCCTGGGTTGTTGTGTAGGGACTTGGTACACATTAGGAGCTGCTAGAAGAGACAATAGGTTCAGTAGCAAGCACAAGGAAGCTCTCGGATATGTGGGGAGCTACACTTGGTTGTTAGTAATGAAGATTTTCCAGCTGCAGATGCTTCCTACTGTCCCTGCTCACAGCAGGCAGATATCCTTCAGAAGGCACCAGGTGTCACCATTCCCTCCCCATGCCACCTCCAAGTATCTCCCTGAGCTCCCTGTGAGCTCCCATTTTATGCCAGCACCATTGTCTTCTTCCTAGGAAATCCCTTGTCTCAGGCTGCACAGGTGGGAATTTGCCTGCCACAGCCAAGCCTCCCAGAAGCTGGTGACTCTCCCTCTCCCCAACACATCCCAGGATGACCCAAATCTCTGGGGAGTCTCCACTCCAAGCAATTGACACCTGAAGCATCACCTGCATGCCTATGGTTAACGCACAGCTTGGAAACTCACTCTTCCTTATGAGGGTGAAGATCCGCCGCTTGCAAAACTTCTTTTGCCAAAACACTCCCATGGCCCCAAGCAACACCATCACTGGGAGGACCACCATGACCCAGGGAATGAAGCTGCCATTCTCTGCAACAGAAAGTGAGGGGACCGAGGAGTGAAGGATGAAGAGAGAGAGAGACGGAGTCTCATTCATGGAGCCTCAAGGTTGAAAGCCCAGGAGAACAACGTATAGAAAGGGAAAAGGAGGCTCTATCACAGGAACCTTCTCCTTCAGGACTGTTACCTTTCTTCACAGTCTTGCCTGTGGCTACACTTGAGGTCAGGAAAGTGCCAGCAGCTGGCTTTGTATCTGCTCCACCGGCGGTTCCTCCAGCAGTTGGGTGGACATTGCCAGAGGTCACATTGCTCAGGAGGAGGCTGGGGTGGGTTGCCCGTCTGGAGTCAACAGGATGCTCAAGATGGGTGTGTTGGGAGGGCACCCCAGCTGGGTCAGTACCCTGGGTACTGTTTCTAAACGTTGCAAGTGTAGGGACCCGACTGAGGACGTTGGGAGATGGGTCCTTGCACACTTGGTCGTGGGTGACGTTTCCTTTGGTCATCACTACCTTGCTCAGCTTGGCACAGCTGGGGAGGTGAAGGAGAGCATGAGATGGAGGGTGGCAGAAGGAAATATCTCAAGGCTGTCTGGGGGATGAGATTCTCCATGCGACAGACCTCCCTCGGGCTGGCTGTGTGCCTGTATCTACGCAACAGGATCACCCACCTTCTTTCCCCCATAGCATCAGCTTTTCAGCCAGATGCCAACCTAACCTCCATAGCACCTAAAGAAGTAGGCTGTAGCCTATGAAGCTTATGCCTCTCTGAATGAGCCAGTCTATATGGTGCCCTCCTGCCCTGCATTCACATTCAAGTTTAACCCTTCCGCTCAAGTGAGCTCTGAGTTAGGCAAGGAGGATTCATTCCTCTCTACTTGAATCCTCTACAGAAATAAAGCAGTCACCAGGGGACCCCCCAGATGCCACACACTAGCCCAAAGCCGCCCCCCTCCTTCTTTACCCTCCCCCTGCCCCCAGGTGAATTTGGTTGGTATGCACCAGTAGATCACAGGCTTCCAGCCAGCTCCTCCACCAGCGTGAAACAACAGATCAGAAACCAGCGCTTACTCTGTGTGAGGCCTGCAGGTTTCTGTGCTGGAAAACCGGTCAGAGAAGGTGCCTGGAGGACACACTTGGCAGGTGACATCTGTTTTGGAGGTGCCTGTAGAAAGGATAAGTCATTGGTTCCCAGACTGGCTCCCAGGCCAAAGGTGGAAGAGGCCAGCGGGTGTGAATGCGATTCCTACCTCTGACCTTGACTCCATACCCAGGATGGCAGCTGGTGTGACGGTCGCATCGTGCACAAGTGTTCAGGACTGTCATTTTACAGAAGAATCCTGCCCGGCACTCACACACCCTGCTGGAATTGAAGGTGCAGGGGGCTTTCTCCACAAGGTCATGTTCTGCAAGGAAGAAACGGAGGAGAAAGAGGCTGTGAGCAGCAGGGAGGAGACTCAAGGGAGGTCAGGGATAGGGCACAGAGGTACCAGGCACTTGGTTCAGTGATAAATAAAGTTACAAGACAAAGGGAGACATGTGAAGATGAGCAGGCTGCCATCTTTCAAACAGACTGGTATATGGATGGAAGGCCTCTAGCAAATCCCAGCTCCTGTAGGCAGTGCTGCTGGGGATCTGACAGGAGGCATTTCCCTGTTCCAAGTACCAACACAGTGACCATCCCAAACATGTGCCTGTGCTTCAAACCTATCAAGGATGGAGATCTCACCAGCTCTGCTCAGCAGGAGTCTTTCCAGTGCCTTTGGTGAGATTTGGATAAAGCCCCAGATACATCATGTAGCTGTTCTACTGAGACACACAAATATAGAAATGGGGTCTAAGCCACATTAAAGGGGGGATAACTTTACTGCGCTGCATATTAACATGGAAGGGAGCTCGTGTCAGCACTGAGCTGCAGCAGAGGGGTCAAGGACTACAGGCTTGCCTATGCTAGTCAGAAGGCCTAACTGCAGGATGGGTTGGGTACCAACAGCAGCAAAGCTGGTCCAAAACAGGCTGTACATGCCTGCACTGATTCATGCCACACAGCCTCACTGCTATCAGCACCCAAGCTAGCTGGACAGAAGCTAGCTTAGCTAAGCCTGCTCTTCTTGCAAAATTTTCCATTGCGATGCAGACACAGCATCAGATGGGCCAGCATCTCCTCCCAACCAGGTGTACTGTAGAAAGTCAGGAAACAAAGACAAAGTGAGACTAGGTGGGGGCAAGTCCTGCTAACATAACTGCAGAGGGCAGTCAAGCAAATACCTGTCATGCATGACACGCAGGCCTCACAACGCGGCTTTGGATGTGCCTCCTTCAGGTACTGCTCGGGTTCGCACCACCTGCAATCTTTGTCCAAGTTAGTAGGGCATGGTGTCTGTTTAATGGAGCCTGGAGGGGAGAAATCAAAATCTATAAAGCAAGGAAGGGCCTAAAGAAACAATCATCCTGAAGCACTTCAGTCCATGGGCACATAAGTCCCATGTATGACATGGAGACCTTCTCTCTGGGTCCGTCATCATAATTGCTCTCCCATTCCTCTAACAGCAACGTGTTTCTTAGTTCCAACCTGCAGCAAAAGTGCCATAAGTGGCAAAGGGCAGATCAGGTAGGGAACAGGCAGCAAAAAGCAGAGAAGGAGATCAGGCGAGGCATACAGAGTAGGAAGCAGAAAGCAGAGCAGCAGATTGGACAGAGGAAGGGGATGGCCCTTGGGGAGGGCATGGGGTTAATTTGTGGCACATCTGATAATTGGTGGCCCCCACTATCTTAGTTCAAAGTGATGAAGTAACAGCCTCCCTGCAGCAACAGCAGGCTACGGTAACAATACCCTGGGGTGCAGCGTGTAGAGCTGTTAAAGTATGGGACAACGGCAAGTCCTTTGCGGAAGGAAAGAGATGACTGACAAGCCTGCAGGAATGGCCAGACATGGCTGCCACACTTAGATTGCTCCTTTAGGGATTCTGTATAGCTGTAAGAACTCTACTCTGGGCCGGTACTACTCATTCTGGCTGCTCTAGGCAGCTCCTTTTTCCCTCCGGTCAGCCCAGCCTGGATACCATGGCTTCATGGAGCAGGCCCTTACCCCACAAACCAGTAAGAGGATGTACAGACAGCTCCCGTTGAGTGTACAGAGTGGGAGGCTGGGCCAGATGCACTGCTAGAATATCCCCTGAAGAGCTGGCTATGGGAGTATATTCCTGGCATGGATTCTGCCATGGAGATGAGGAGAGGCTGCTCAAAGCTGTGACCACATGAGCTGCTCGTACATGAGAAACTCCACAGAAACAGGGCTCTCAGAATGGGTTGGGATGGGCCAGAGCACTGATCATTCCTAAAATACTGGGAATGGGATAAAAATTACTTGCATCCTTTTGATGGAGCTTGATACTGTCTGGGCATCCTTAGACCTGGGAGCTCCTAACTGTACAGAACCTGACTCTGCAGCCTCAACAGCCACTCAGGGTCATTTTAGCTGTACAATATAGCATCTAACTGGCCACAAAAAGTTCCTCCCTCTGCTCCTATTGTTTTTGAACACTATTGCTATGTTAGATAGCCATGTTCTCTCTCTCCACTCCTCTTCAGCTCTTTGCATCCTGTAGGCAGACCGAGCCAACATCCTTCCCGTACAAATCAAACTGGTGAATTCACAGATCTTTAGCTGTGCTAAAACTGATGTAGCCCCACTGAAGGCAACGCATCTATGATGAGGACACAGCCTGCCTCATCCCAGTGCATTCCAATCTGGGCAAAAGCAACTTCCTTATCCATCATTTCTTGCTCTCATGGAACCAGTTCCACAATCCCAAGTTTTTAAAATCTTGGCTGGTCTCGCATCTGGGTGCTTATCTCATGAACACACACACTGCTGTAATCATGACAGCCACAGTACAGGATGCCCTGACACAAATTCATAAAAATGCTGAGAGCCACACACGGCTCCTGCCCCCCACCCCCTCCAAGCCTGCTACTGGTTTCACAAAGAAATGTCAAAAATTTCCTTGTCAGCAAGAGTTTTTACAGAGGGGGACTCAAGTCGGTGAAGTACCGTAAAAAGCCCTGCCCATTGGGTTCCTATAGCCAATAGAGTGAGTTTAAGGCATTTCCAGAACTCTGTTGTTTGAAGACATTTCTTTTTTCTAACCACAAAGAACATTACCCTTCATGAGTCATGGCTAACTTCCGACAAGCTCACTCCCTCTATTGAAAATACTCATGACCCAGGATGCTTTCTAAACTGTTCTGACTATGAAGGCATCAACAGACTTTCCCCATCGCTCTGGGGACAGCACTCAGTCCAGCTCACAGTTTTACTGGGCAGTTTGAATCCCTGTAGAAACAAGGTCTTTGGTCTAATTTCCCACTGCCTGTCAAGTTATAAGAGTCACTTGCACTTATGTAAAGTGGTATGAAAGGCTAGAAAACCATTGGGGGAGCATTTTACACGTTCGTCATGCTCATTTTGGAAAGATTCAACTAACTAGGCTCAAGTTCATCTGAACAACTCATTTCTCCAAGGGCTCAATTCTAACGAAGGACCCAATTCTCCAAAACTGTGATAACCCTCTATGAGGTGTTGCATGTCCTCATATCTCACTGACACAATATCCTGTTTGAACTGCAGTCCCTAAACTGTAATTGTTGATGAGCATCAGTGGGTTAAGATCCACTCATTGCAGATCTTTAGCAAATCTGACGCCAGGACAGCCAGATGCATATCAGCTTCTCATTAAACTGTACGCTGCACATTTATTCAAGGACAGCAAGGACTACCATTGCCTTGGTATAGATTTTAGATGTTTCCAAATGCACTTGTATCAAGAGTTGGTGCTGTATTGCCTGCAAAAGAACCATTTTTGAATTATAAAACACCCACCTGTGGGACAGTGGTAGCAGCATTTTTCTGAAGCTTCATCATAGAACTGGTTATTAAGCTTTTCACAGGACTTGGCCAAGAGCCCTGATGCCTAGAAAACCAAACAGACCAAAGACAATTAAAAGTCAGAAACAGGAGCTGACTTATCAATTTACTTATTCATTATTCAATACATTCCCAATTCAGAACATGGTTAGAGATGCAGCCTGCAGTCAGCTTTCCCCGTGAATGAGTCAGTGGGGAGGGGATACTGCAGTCCTACTGGTGTGTTTGATACTCCACTGCCTCAAAGCCAAATCCTTCTTGCTGATAGTGAGCAGGACAACTGCATTTCCCACAAGGATCCTATTTTAATCCCAGATTCTAATTCTGGAATAGCCCAGCTAGATCCCTTGGAGAACCAGCCCAGGCTTGAGACTCCACACAGATTGTATCATGATTAGGGCTGTGGAAAAGCCTGGCCAGGCTGGTTGTGACTGGTAAAGTTAATTCTTGATATTCAGTGCTGGACACAGTACATTATCTTCAGACATCCATGAAGTGGGTCAGTTATAACCAATGATACCCTTTGTGGGTATCCTTGAGAACACTGTCTATGCTTGTGCCAGTTTGGTAATCCCCTGCCGTGCCCAGCTGCCTTCTCGCGCATGGTGCAGTGTAGCAAATGGGTGTCTTTGGTCAACGGAATATAGCTCACGACATCAAGGCTGAAGGCTCTCCTAAACCTAGCCGGCTCTTGAAACCAGCAGGGTTAGGGCAGGCATGTTTCTGTCATCAACAGCCCATAAGAATTATGTCTGGCCTCACGTCCATCCAGGTCTGATTTCCAAGGCTGAAAACCAGCTGGGTTGCTTCGAGTGCCCTTCCAGAGCAAGGCCCAGATCCACATCCCTGGATCCATAGGGAAATGCCTTATTTACCACCACCCTCTACCAGGAGGTAGGCTTGGGAGTCACTTGTTTTAACAGGGCAAGAACCTGCCTTGAAGAGCAGGGTAGTCTTGCCTGAAGATAGACCCAAAAAAACTCTTAGTCACAAGGTTTGTCCTTATTCCTGCAACAAAGACCATTGATTTTGGTCAAACTCCTTATATGCATGAGAGGTTTTAAGGTTTTGATCTGATAAGGAGTCTGATATTTGCTTGGACAGAAAGAAGAAAGCTTTAATATTAGCTCTGCTGAATACACTTAGTCATGAACTGCATCAAGAAAGAGATCAAGCACAAGACATTTCCATCTTGCATCAGGCCTTTTGCTTAGAACAGATTGAAACACACCACTAGGAAATTTCAGTGGTGCGTGCTTTGTGTTGAGATCATTATAATCAGCATTTCCCCCACTCCTCTCCCTTCAAGCCTGTTATCATCTGAACTGCATTTTCAGTAACTAGCAGAAGGTGTGTAAGCATTTTCACCAGCCACATGTTTCAGAGATGAATGAGACCAGTAGATCCCCAGCAAACTTTCCCTCTTGATGGTGCTAGAGCAGGTGTTTCATTCATTATAGTTAATTAACCTCACAGTCAGACTCTTCAGCTTGCTGTATCCTTGTTTACAACTGGGGAACCTGTGTAACAAAGACGTCCCATGGGATAACTCAGGTCATGCGACGGCTGGAATGGAATTTGGAAGCCTTCGGTCAAACAGCAAGTGATCAGCAGAACTGGAAATAGCACCTTCTTATAACCACTAGCAAACACAACCATCCAGAGCCAATGGGATCCAGAAACCCTGATCACTGGCTAAGCCTATAATGCATTTCTACAAAGCCCTTCTTCCTTCCTCATTAGACCACATGGAGGGAATGGCAGTGTCCCTTTTGGGCCCACTTGAGTTGAATTTACAAGTTTTGTTTCCAAGGAGGCTGCCCGAGGTCACAGAGTAAGGCAGCAGAATGCCTCTGCCTTTCTGTGAAAAACCAGCTCAGCTAGATGGCCAGTCGACGAGCAGGAAATGGCCTAATGGAAACAGTCACAGTTAGGATTCAGGACCACTCACTTTCCTTGGCTTTGATGGAGACAGCGTGCTGAGAAGTGGACTAGAATGGAGCCCAGTTTTCAAGCAGTGGCCGCATCCAAATCCCCTCGGCCTAGCTTTTCTGCAAGCTCCCTGAACAGCCATAGAAAAGGCCAGTTGTTCTTTCCTGGTTCTATGGTGAAATCTCTGTATGGTTTCTAGATCAATATTGCACTCTGGTTCTCAGGGACAGAGTTGAGAACTAGCCCTTTAAGTGATTTATATCACACACCACTCCTTCCAAGTCTTTTGGAAAGAACACAGAGAATAACTTTTAATTAAAAGGGGGCTGGGGTTTTATTATTGTTGTTATAACAACAGCAACACTAGTAATAAATTATTGTTATTACCATTTTCTGTGATTAAAATGAAACACCGCTATAGATAGACAGACAGATATTAGTGGCATTTCATTTTAAGCATAAAAAAATGTGGATTAGGGGTTACTTTTTTATATCCAAAAATTGGGAATTTTTTTTTTAATCAGAGAAAACCAGGATCCCTGGTTATTACTATTATCATCATTATAACTGTTGTCATAATTATTGTCATCAGTAGGGGTGCTCCCAGAAGTGGCTGCAGCAATCAGCTGGCGCTTGCAGGGGGGGCACCGGTGCTCTCCGGAGGTGCACGTGCACCCCTGTGCACCCCCTACACATCGCCACTGGGGCAAGACGAACAACTATTCACCAAAGCGCCCCAGGGTAAAGCCAGGAGCAACGGTCACAAATTCCTAGAAGGAGGTTTCAGACTCGATATAAGGAAAAACTTCTTTGCGGTTCATGTGACCAGACTCTGGAATAGACTCCCAGTGGGGGTGGTGCAGGCACCTGCCCACGAGATCTTCAAAAGGAGACTGGATACACACCTTGCTGCACACCTTATTTGATCCCAGCAGTCTTTCCTGCCCAGAGCAGGGGGGCTGGACCCGATGATCTCACGAGGTCCCTTCCAGCCCTAAACATCTGTGAATCACTATTGTTATCATTATCATCATCATTACTATTGGTTTCAGATACAGGAGAGGAATCTGCTCTCAGTTCCAGGGATGTTGGTCTGTAGTACAGCCTCACACCAGTGTGACTGACAGCAAGATCTGGTCTGTTTTTCTTGATGAAAATGACTGCAATCAATTATTGCAGTGTCAGCATACACAGATGTGAAACCATTAGTTTAATCTGTCCTTTGTCCACAAGAGGGCAGCTAACCCCCAGTTTTCTGCTGCCTCTCTCCATGAAATCTGCAGTCTCCTAGTTGGAGCTAGTCCCAAAGCCTGGTCTGAAAATGACACATACTAAAAATCTGCTGTTCACTGCCAATATGCTGGTTCATGTCCCCAGTGCTCAGAGTCAATGCCAAAATGGGTCTTTTTTTTTTTTTTAAATCAAGATGCTGACTATTTGTCACCCATTCAAGCTTTCTGCTGACTCAGTCCCCGCCAAATTCTTGGCCTTTCACCTACCCCTCAGAGTCTGCCAGACAGTCAGTTAATTTCCACGAGTGTGAAAATAACTTAGCACGCTCCTTCTGCAGAGGGCTCAGAAGAGGTGCTCGGCAGGGTCCACCACCTCGTCTAACATGGGTCACTCTTTTTTTTTCCAGTCCTTTGGTTACTGGCTTGATAACCTGTCACCGTGCTGGTTGAGCCTCATTGCATATGGCCCTTGAAAGCGACATGCTTAAGTGGGGCAATAACCGTGCACATAGATTTGACCCCATATGCCCGGTATTCACAGCAGCCTGAACTTATTTCACAACTCAGCATGAGTTATTTAAGCCAAACAGTGCGGGAAGAAGAGCATAGTTAGAAGTGGCGTGGGCTCCGTTTCTTTAACAGGCACCAGGTTTTCTAGAACCTCAGTTTCAAAATTTCACATGTCTGATGTCAAAAGCTTACAGTAACCACCGAAAAAGCAACCACAAGACTGTGTGGGACAGAGGTACATTTGGGGTTGCAGGGAAAAAGGTCCAAAACAAATGATAAGCTTTGCAGCAAAGGAGTAAAGGAGTCAACTTGGAAAGGTGAGGATTTCTTCCTTTGGAGAATTACAGGTGACAGTGAAACGAAGAGGCTAGCAATTGTTGCAAAGATGTCTAAATTAGACCTCTCTGTGGGAGTGTGGGTGAACTTGAGGGCACAAGCAGCCTGGATGGTGTCATTTACTCTTTGCTCTTTCCCAATCAAAGCAGAGTGTAATGATGCATCACACACTGAAAAACAGAGGCAGGAATTAACATATCCACCCTAAGCACATTTACCTCTATGCAAATTTCAACTTCCTACACGTCACTTTGGAGCAGGACATTGGATTGACATAAAGGTTGGCTCATTTGGTGATGCGGATGACAACAGACAAGGCTGCATACACATAGTAATGCTTTGCTTTTCAGCTGCAAACTACAAAACACTTTATACTGGTCATTAACTAGCAATACCCTATGCTTACCAATGAGGAACAGTGGGGGTAGCAAGTCAATCGCAGTGCCAGGGACAGGACACAGCTTTCCTAACTCCCAGAGAAATCAATCAAGTCTAGCACTGGCATACTGGAGTGACACTCTGTCCTTTCTTGATTTGATTGTTAAATCAGACCATGGAAATGAACAAACTTCATCAGCTCTCCAGTTGCAGAAGTCCAGACACCTCTTTCTCTTGCCCGATCCATTGGGAGAACAAATAAACATCTGGTTGCTTCTCTGAGGCACAAGATCCCAAGGCTGATGGGGGAATCACAAATGCTTACAACACTGGGGAGGCCTTAGGCCAAGCCAGAATCCTTTCAATGCCCTGACCACAAGGCTGCAGCCACACAGTGACTCATGACTGTGAGGTTGTGAAAACTCACTTCAAAGGAAGATCTCTGTTCTTAGCAGCATGCTGACACTTTCACAGCACACTTGACAAGAACGGCTGGCTACAGAGCATGATCAGCGTGACAGTGGGAAATGACAGATGCTCTTTTTCTGTGAGCAGGACATTTGAGCGAAGGTAATGGTAATGTCACAGGTATATGACAAGCTGTTTTTGACAGGCTCTGGGGCCAAAGGCTCCAGCCCGGTTGCAAGGTGTAACACTAATTGCAGGCTGCTCAGGAGGACTGGGCCAATGAAGGAGATAATCAGCAGCCACAAGAAGTAAAAGGCTCCCAAGGAGGGGAAGCCAAGGGTCAGGTGAACGGGAAAGGAGGGAGAAAGAGAGAGTAGCCTAGTCAGCAGCTGCAATACTGGACCAGAGACTCTCAGGGTCTAAGAGACTGGGAGCAGCAGCACCACGGCAAGGAGGGAGTTGAATCACAGCCAGGCTGTGAGGAAAGGTTTCAGTGGGAAAGAGCGGCATCAAGCGGAGCTGGAGGCACTTTCCTGGGGGCTGAAAAGGACTCGGGCCCGTGACTTAACCTTTTATGGGCTGTTTGGGTCAGAGTGTGAAGACTGACTGATATAGGAGGGTGTCTGTGTGACAGGTGTGCCCTGGGAATACAGACCGTATTGCGTTTTAAAGACTTTGAGCTAAGTGATAACCCCAAACCTGCTACAGTGTTCAGGAGGGGCTTGTGCAGTTCCACAGCTGGAACAGAAGTGGACCCAGAGCCCTAGTCCTGTGTCCACCTACATCAGTGGGTCTCAGCCTTTTCAGACTTGAGGCTAGATTAGAAAATTACACTTGGGTGGAGAAGGCACTAGGTACAATGATTCCCTAAGAAGGGGAGGGGGATATTCAGGTCCATTCAAGCAGGAGATAGAACTCAGCTGTACAAGAACACTTCATATCAAGGAGAAGTTACTGACAGGCAAAGCAAGC